GACTCATGAGACATTTCCAGGATTTCTCCAGGGATCACACTTAGAAAACTTGTATCTCTGTCATGCAAATGAGCCCCGGGAAGCTGGCAACATTTTACGGTTCTCATTCAACCTCCGAATTTTGGAATTTGGCATTGTTGTTTCCCAGTCATTATTTCCTGTGGGCAGTCTGAACACAGTACCTGGTCTACCCCTCCCCCACGACCTGGCCACGCAGCTTCTCTTGCCTCCGCTGTCCCTAGAAGTAGGGGGCAGTCACTACCCAGTGGGCAAAGCTGTGTTGCCCGTTCACGGCCCCCTTCTCCTTCATCCCCACATCCAATCAGCTATCAGGGGGATGGCATTTGTCTCCCGTTTCCAAATTTCTGGTCCCTTCCCGCACGCTGGCTCAGAATCCACTCTCCTGTTACAGTCCTGACAGACATCAGAAATGTTTATCCAAAGCCTCCAAAGTCAAGTGCTACAACTCACGACGGAGAAAGATCTTGTGTCCCAAGATTCTGTTTGCCCCTTATTTCGTGCTTCTATGAGCTCTCTCTGTGTGTCTCATAGGATGCATGAGAGAGCTTGAGTCTCTCCTATCTATTCTGTGTAGCCCCTGGTGGTCTGTAGACCAGGCTAGCCTCAGACTCACAGACTCTACTGCCTTTGTCACCCAAGTGCTGGGATGAAAGGTGTGCACCACCACCTCCTAGCTCTCTTATCTTTCTTTCTTTTTTTCGAGACAGGGTTTCTCTGTATTGCTTTAGAGGCTGTCCTGGAACTCTTTATGTAGACCAGGCTGGCCTGGAACTCACAGAGATCCGCCTGCCTCTGCCTCCCGAGTGCTGGGATTAAAGGTATGCACCACCAACGCCTGGCTGCTCTCTTATCTTTCTTAATAGGGCTATAAAATAGTTTTCCATTATCAATTTTTTTTTAATCTTGACCATCTAGGCAGGTGCCCTTTTCCAGGCTTACAGCATCTTCTGGTTCCTTTTTAACTCATCCAGCCTTGACATCCCTTCAGAAACATCCACCCGGAGAAACCATCCTTTTGACATTTCGGTTGTCCATCTTCTTGCCTCTAGGTGCTGGTAATGTGAAGGTAGGGCCCTTTCCTTAGCCACATTTCAATCACAGGGCTGAAAAAGGCCCGGCCAACAGAAGGTGTTCAGTAAATACCAGCTGAATAAATGAAGGCATGCATTTCCTCAAGCTGGCGTGGAAAAAAAAAGGACTCATCACTGACTCAATGTCTGAACATAAAGAGGCCTTTAAACTCAAAGACAATCAAACGACATATATCATTTAAATGGTTTTTCCATGTGGGAGGCATAATTGACACGGGCACGCTTCCTGAGCGGCAGAACGTAAACTTATTTACAGCCCAGAATAATTGCCATTATCAAGGCGCCCAGCTGGCAAGAAAGAGCTTGTGTGACCTGGAGAACTTTGTGTGTTCATTTGTTTGACTGCTATGGGAGTCAGAGCTCGTGGGCTCAACACTTCTCGCCCTGGCCCCAAACAGTTTATGAAGCCAATGCACAAGAACCACACACTTGACCTGGCTTTCAGATACTCCGGAGCCACACAACAGTCCCAGTCAGACGGCAGAATGTCCTCAGGGTTGCAAGGCAAGGACAGGAGCAGCAGACCATCAGAGTGACAGTAATGGCGCTCCGGAAGCGTGTGACCAGAGCCAAAAGCCAGCCAAGCCCTGAGATACAGCACAGGACCCACGGAGACAGGGGAGCAGCCACCGACCAGCATGGGCTTTCATCCACCAAACTCACCGCGTGTGGGCTAGGATGGAGTTCCTGCCCCTGATGCCTAATGTCTCAGCTTTAAGGTCACATGGTGACTGGTTTGAGGATGAATTTTTATTTGTTTGTTTGTTTGTTTTACACCCTGACCTGAAACCTCTCCTCCCAAGGACGAGTCTTTTAAGTTCGTGTAGAGGGATTGAGAAAGCTTGGGGCATAGGAGATGGTGCCCAGCGAGTTAGCTGTTACCAAGGCACAGTTCGTCCCTTCACACCGACCCTCTGCCGGTATGAGAGTGTCATGCACACGCTACCTGCTCACTCACTCACTCACCACTCACTCACTCATTCATTCATTCATTCACTCATCCATCCAGTGCTTACTGAACGGTCACTATGTCTCTGCTCTCATGGAGTTTACCTTCTAGAAAAAAGAGGAAACGGTAAGGAAACAAACATGTGAATAGATGACTTGCTGACGAGTGTGTTGGCGAGAAATGAAGGCAATGGAGACAGAGGATGATGAGACTGAACAGTGACAGGGAACAAGCTGGCGGAGTGTTCATGCCAAGGGCACCCTGGGAGTGGGGGGCGGTAAAAGACCCAGTGTTCATGCCAAGGGCACCCTGGGCACGTGTGTGTGTGGGGGGGTGACCGAGTGTTTTTACAAACAACAGCCTCAGTAGGGGCGGTGGGGAGTGGGGGTGACTGAGTGTTCACCCACAGAGCACCCTGGGTGGGGGTGAGTAGTGTGCACTCGGGGGAACACAGGCCTAAGCTAAGCTGGTAGTCTCCTTCCCTCTGTGCTGGCTTGGGTTCCTTTCTTTCTCATGGAACCACAGATCGGACTCCTGTACAATGAACTGCAGTAAAAGAGACTTTGTCTTAGCTTCTTATTCCAGCTTGAAGGCCACTGCCTGGAAGGTTCAGATGAACTTAATAACCAGACACTTGTGGAAATTTGGAAACTGTCTTGTTGTTGTTAGATAGATTTACTTATTTATTTTGTGTGTATGAATTTCTGAGTCTTTTGCCTGCATGTATGTATGTGCACCACACGCGTACCTGGTGCATGCGGAGGACAGAAGGGGCATTGGATCTGCTGGAACTGGGCTTGCAAACGCTTGCAAGCAATCCTGCAGGTGCTGGGAATTGAACCTAGGTCCTCTGCAAGAGCAGGGCTTAAGCAAAAGCTGAACCACTGAGCCAGGGCACGTGGCTTTGAGTCTTAGCTTTGATGTCCAGCTACATAGTTTCTCCCTGAGCCATTTTCAGGCTGAAGTTAGAGTCCGTGGGAGATTAAAGATTAAGTTCTGGAAGCATAGGAGGAGAGGGCAGTCCCACTTCCCATGAAGCTTCATCTCAAAGATGAAGTGTGTGTGTGTGTGTGTGTGTGTGTGTGTGTGTGTGTGTGTGTGTACACCATGCATGAGCATGAGCATGCATGTGCACACGCACTCTGCATTCACACATGTTTGTGGGGCTCTCTGGGGGAAAAAAGGCTGAAGGCAACAGGAGGTAATAAGGAAGAGATGTATCTGAGGGTCTAGAAAGGCGGGAAAATTATCTAAGTCCCTGAAAACCTAACAGTGTCAAGTTGAACCGACAGGCATGCCAGCAAGGCGCCTTTATTGCTTGCCTTATTTGAACTGAGCCCATATTTCTATTTAATTGCTCCTCTCATTTTCTTGGGCAATAATTATAAGACTAACTTTTCAAATAAAATAAAATTGCCCCTCTGCGCTACACAGGCAGTTATGGAACAGGTTAGGGCAAGTTTCCCCCCAGTCCTTTGTCCCAGAGCCCTGGATGGGATTAGGAAGACAGTTCTTGTCTTGGCGTTTGTTCTGACTGAGGACAACTCACCTGTCACGGTAGACCCTTCTCCCTGCCTCCGTTTCCTGGGCGTCTCTCTCCATCCACCCAAGCCCTCTGCATGTGGGGGTGAGGGAAATGAGGAATGGGAGTAGCTTAAGCATTCTACAGGGTACAATAAGACTTGGTTTCAAAATGACCTCTGGTGACTCTAACCTAGTCACTCACTAATCTCTGCCATTGGTCCAGGGAGCTACCAAGGGTGTCCTGATAAGAAAACTACAAAAGCCCTTGCTCCGTTGTATAAGAAATGAAAGCAAATGTCCTCTTACTGACTTAATGCTTTGTGATGCCCGCTGAAAATCTGCCTCCTGCCTACACTCCCTGGGAACACAGGCTTCGTCTAAAGAAGGGGTCATGACCGTAAATAGGAGAAAAGGTATTTTTTATGTGCATAATAGCGTTGCTAAACCCAGGTATTACTTTCCAGAAGTTTCTGTGAATTTTGAAATCTACTTCCCCATTTCTCCTCCTCTTTTCTGGCTCTAGGAGGCTGATCTGCACAAATTGCACCTCTCGAGGCCCTGTGGCCCCCGGCCTTGGGTTCGATCTAGCCAGCGAGGACCCCAGACGGGGAGCTCAGAAGCAGGCAGGCCCGGGCACTTCTCCAGGTTGGCACTGAACCAGTGGCTGGCAGCCTTTCCTCTGGGGCTCCGCCTCTCGGTGGAAAACGACTTCCTCTGTGGTCCCAGCTCCCCCGGGGTGGCTCCCTTTGATTCCCCAGCCCCTCAGATAATATCTGGATTACCTCCCTTCATCCTTCCCACCCTTGGCAAGGAATACTTGACTGCTTCGCACGGCATCTGCCTTTCTGTTTGGACCCTGGTAGACGGTCTCTAGAGAGCCGATGTGGCATTAGGAGTATGCAATAGGAGCCCCAGTGGTGCCATCGGTTAGCGCACGGTACTTATACAGGAGTATACAATAAACCCGGTAGGCTCAATTCTTCTTGACTGGCAGGCAAGGTGTCTCAGACAGATCTTTTCCTGACCACCTACCTACCTCTTGAGGTATGTATATGTGGGAATGAAGACAATAGGTCCCTATAGAGTCTTGAGCTTCATGGTCCTGATTTTATCAAGTAGAAGGAGACAAGGGTTTTTATCTGACCTGCTCAACACCTGCTTGGCTCAAACACAGGGCATGGAAATGTTTTTTGAAACTCAGCACGGTTGTTGCGAACGCAATACTGGTATATAAGATCTGATGGAAGGGAAGTGCTTTGTTCTCTGATTTCAGTCTCGTCTGTGCACTAACCGTGTCATCACGGGTTAGCATGCCCAAGGCAGTGCCTGGCAGGGCAAAGTGCTGCGGCCAACTGTCCTGGGCTCTGGTTGGCAGCCCGCCAGCGTGCCAGCGCCTGGAGAGCCAGGCAACTCACCAATGTCGAGGACCCTCTGCTTGGCCGTGTGCTGCCGTGAATGCCAGTATTTCCAGTATTTCAGCTGCTCGTCTCGGTTCTTGTCTTCACTGAAGACCACCATCACCACACTCTGCGGGAGAGGACAGCGGCCATTACCCTCTGTTCAGCATCCCACGGCCTCACAGTTTCCACGTCTGGCAACTCTACCACCGGTGTGTTTCTAGAATGTACCTTTCATTTCCTTAAAGTACAGAGAGGGCCAGGCATGGCGGGTGGGGCTCTGGTCTTTAAATCCCAGCACTTGGGAGGCAGAGGCAGGCAGATTGCTGAGTTTGAGGCCAGCCTGGTCTACAGAGTGAGTTCTATGACAGCAAGGGCTGAACAGAGAAACCCTATCTCAAATAAAGAGGAGGAGGAGGAAAAGGAGGAGGAGGAGGAGAAGAAGAAGAGGAGGAGGAGGAGGAAGAGGAGAGGAAGATGAGGAGGAGGAGAAGAAGAGGAGGAGGAGAAGGAGAAGATGAGGAGGAGGAGGAGAAGAAGAAGAAGAGGAGGAGGAGGAGAGGAAGATGAGGAGGAGGAGAAGAGGAGGAGGAGAGGAAGAAGATGAGGAGGAGGAGAAGAAGAAGAAGAAGAGGAGGAGGAGAGGAAGATGAGGAGGAGGAGAAGAAGAGGAGGAGGAGGAGGAGAAGAAGAGGAGGAGGAGGAGGAGGAGAGGAAGATGAGGAGGAGGAGAAGAAGAGGAGGAGGAGAGGAAGAAGATGAGGAGGAGGAGGAGAAGAAGAAGAGGAGGAGGAGGAGGAGGAGGAGGAGAGGAAGATGAGGAGGAGGAGAAGAAGAGGAGGAGGAGAGGAAGAAGAAGATGAGGAGGAGGAGAAGAAGAAGAAGAAGAAGAAGAAGAAGAGGAAGAGGAAGAGGAAGAGGAAGAGGAAGAGGAAGAGGAGGAGGAGAGGAAGATGAGGAGGAGGAGAAGAGGAGGAGGAGAGGAAGAAGAAGAGGAGGAGGAGGAGGAGAAGAAGAAGAAGAAGAAGAAGAAGAAGAAGAAGAAGAAGAAGAAGAAGAAGAAGAAGAAGAAGAAGAAGAAGAAGAAGAAGAAGAAGAAGAAGAAGAAGAGGAAGAGGAAGAGGAAGAGGAAGAGGAAGAGGAAGAGGAGGAGGAGAGGAAGATGAGGAGGAGGAGAAGAAGAGGAGGAGGAGAGGAAGAAGATGAGGAGGAGGAGGAGGAGAAGAAGAAGAAGAAGAAGAAGAGGAGGAGGAGGAGGAGGAAGAGGAGGACATCTAGAGAATAGGGGCAAGCAGATGGCTCAGTGAGTTAAGGTGTTTGATGCCAAGACTAATGACTTGAATTAGACCTCAGAGACCCACAGGGTGGAAGAATAGATTCAACTCCCAATTTATCCTCTGATGGGCAATCGGGTGTGCATGTACACACACACACACACAACCTAGAAACAGCAAGGAGAAACAGAATCCTTTATCCTTCTTACCACATCATCATAAACAATCAGACGAAGCAATCTGACACATTTGTTATTTTGTGTCGTTAACTAGAACACCAAAACACATTTGATTTGCACTGGGAATAAAAATGGTCTGAAACCTCTGTCTTAAATGGAGTTGGGGCCATTTGTAAAGAAGCAGGCATCCATCTCTCGCCTAGGGAATGCCTCATGCTGGAGAGAAGCAAGTAATGAGGGGATTACACGGGAAATACAGAAATGCTCGGAGACAAGCTCATATTGATAAAGAGATCTAAAGCCTTGGATAATTTATAACCCCAAAGTACAAGGGCAGCCATACACCTCAATAAAACACGGCTATTCTTTACATGAGCTAGAGAAACTAATTCTATTTCACAGAAATAAGACTCCAAACCTCACCTCAGTCCTCAGTTACAAACAGCTCTGATTAAACTAAATGTATACATATCCAATGTCATTTATGGAATGCAGACAGCAATGCATGCCCCTGCCACAGCCTCTGAAGTAATGGAATTCCAGGTATGAACTACCAAACCTGGTTCAGATCACATTTTCAGTCAAAATGGAACAAAAGGAGATAAAAATTTCCATATTAATCAGGTTGTTTTGCGGGGGGAGGAGGGTTTTTTGGGGGTTTTGTGTTGTTGATTTTTTGAGACAGGGTTTCTTTGTGTAACAGCCCTGCCTATCCTAGAACTCACATTATAGACCAGGCTAGGAACGAACTTGAAATTTCAGAGATCCTCCTGCCTCTGCCTCCCTAGTGCTGGGATTAACGGCGCGTGCCAAAACCCAGCATATAATTTCCATATCCCAAGGAAGTGAACTGTGAGGAAGGTCCAAACTGTTATCCTATCCTTAGATGGCTGCCATCTTTGCAGAGATACACATAAGATACTGTGTATCTCTTGCACATATGACTAAACTCTTGCCTGAGATTTAAGATCTTTTAAAAGAAAAACAAATGTATCCCAGGTTGTCTTCCCAGATACCCATGTCTGGATGGAGACCCCTGGGAGAAACGTCTCTGCTTTTCATCCCTTCGGGAAGCTCTGTGGAGCCGTTTCTAGTTGTCGTTGGCTTTCTTGGTGGTGCAGAGGATGGAGCCAAAGCTTCACACAGACTAGGACTAGACAACCCCAGCACAAGGCAACACCCTTATGCTTAGAAGAGCTACAGTCTGGAAGCTGGCGCCTACGCCTGGGGCCCGCCCACCTTAGCTGCTTAGCTTCTGAAAGCCAGATTTCCTTATGTCAATATTACAATAGTACAATGTTGGAGGTTGCTGTATACTCTTTGGCTCTTTTGAGGGGATCCACCACCCAGCTCCCAAATATATCACACAGGAGTCTTATTACTTAGCTTGGCTTGTTCCTAGCCAGCTTTTCTTATCTTAAATTAACCCATCTACGTTTTCCCTCTGGGCTTTTATTTATTTATTTATTTATTTATTTATTTATTTATTTATTACTTTTGCATATCTTACCCTCTTTTTTTTGTTTGTTTTGGTTTTGTTTCTTGAGACAGGGTTTCTCTGTGTAGCTTTGCAGACCAGGCTAAACTCAAACTCACAGAAATCCGCCTGCCTCTGCCTCTACTGGGATTAAAGGCGTGTGCCACCAACGCCACCGCCTCCACCACCTGACTGTATATCTTTCTTTCCTTCTTACTCTGTGGCTGGCTGGGTGGCTGGGTGGCTGGGTGGCTGGGTGGTTAGCCCCTGAAGTCCTCCTCTCCTTGTTCTCTCATTGCTCCTCCTTTTTCTCATTTCTCCTTCTGTTTCTTCCTCTCTGCCCGCCAGCCCAGCCTAGACTTTCTCCGGCCTCACTATTGGCCATCCAGCTCTTTGTTAGACCATCAGGTGTTTTAGACAAAGAATCACAGCTTCACAGAGTTAAACAAATACAGCATAAACAAAAGTTACACGCCTTAAAATAATGTTCTACCACATTACAATGGAGTTTTATCATTATCACTATTATTACTATTGGTCATGGCTAGTTTTAATAAGCTATTGGATATGTAAGGCCTAGCACCATGGTTCTGGCCATAGGGTTGGAACACGATAATGCTCTGGGCAACTTTTGACCTCCAATGGGCTCACCGTGCGTGAGAACCTGGCAGGCACATGGTGGGGGCATTGTGTCCTAGACGTGCTATGGTTTCCTGCTTCTCAACCTGAAAAGCTGAGTAGGACACGGCTGTGGACAGAATACGGTGGGCGGGTGGAGACCACAGACACAGCAGCACGAGGCTGTTTGTAAGAGACCAGGAAAATCTATTCTGCAACAGAAACTCAGTCCGACAGCAACAAGCCAGGAAAGTCCTCCAGTCCTTTCCCAAGCCTGCAGCAACTTCCCTCCCCTCCCTGTTGGCAGTGGTGGGCATTCCAGGGACTGGCAGTCTCCCAAAGCAGACAGTGAGGACTCCAGTGTCGTTGCCCACAAATGACATTAATACTTAGGAATCTGAAATCCATCCAAGCTACTACTGGTGGGAATTGGAGCTCATCTTGTGAATCCTGGGTAAGCTGGGGACAGCAGAAGGCTCTGGAAGGGTTGTAAACGGACCCATCAAACTATCCTGATTTACAGATCGACTGAAACCAACTACACACGCTACAAGCCACGAATGAGGTAAGAGGAATTCCTTGGATACAGGAAGAAAGCATGTTCAACCAAGTTGCTCCCCTGAGGTTTATCGGTTACTGATTAAAATGATAAACTGGGAGCCAATAGGTTCTCCTGCACCGAACTTTGTGAGTCATTTATTTTGAGATTTTTTTTCCCCCAGAGCCATTCCATGAGGATGTGAGGGAGTAACTCCACCCCGCTGGTCGCCCTGTCCTTTTATTTTGAGGAATGTGGTTCATACCCTGACTTTGCTGATGGGGTGTCGGAAGCATTTGTTGTCTCCGGTCTCACTGAGGGTTATGGCATAGAACTGTCCTTTGTTGAGGTAGGTCATGGGGCCTTCGCCCTGCTTCTGGCGGAGGGATTTGGTGGCTTCCAGGGTGTACTGAAATGTCCCACTGCGAAGAGAAAACAGAGCAGCCAGCTTACCCACATGTACATTCCTACCCCCCCCCAACAGCTTTACATCGGCAGGATTTTGTACGAACATTCACAAATATTTACCCCACCTTACAGACAAAATACAGAATGCAGCAGCAACAGTGAGTCCAGACCAAGGGTCAATGCCGTGCAATACACACAGCATTTTTAACAATGGCCCATAAACCAGATGGTTTAAGTGGGGGAGAAAGTCCAGGATGTGCTGGGCAAGCAAAAGCCAGGGAACCGTGAGCGGATCCTGGGACGTTCAGCTCAAGCACACGTCAAGTATCGGTGCTTCCGACAGCCTCCAAAACAATACAGAGAAACCCTGTCTCGTAAAAAACCAAAAAAAAAAAAAAAAGTATCGGTGCTTCTCCTCAGTTCATGGGTTTGCCCAGTTTTCTTTGTATCTATCCACAACTTACCTGACAATATTTCACAGTATGAAAGCCCCAAATCCAAACATTCACCACTGAGCATCATATGCCTCTCATTTTGGTTTTTTGTGGGTTTTTTTTCCATGAAGGGAATCGAACCAGTGACCTCACAAGCTCCAGGCTAGCCCTGAGCCACTTCCTCGGCCCTTTTGTGTTTCGTTTGGGAACGGGTCTTGCTGTGGGTTAGGCTGCCCTAGAACTTGGCTTCCATGGTCTGCCTCGCCCTCCTGAGCAGTTGGCCTCAAGGGCGTGCGCCACAAAAACTGGCCTGTTTCTTGTGTACAGACCTGCAGAAGGTTCCGCGATGAGGCGACTCAAATCGAGCTGCCAGGTGACGGCCTGTGACAACTGGTTTCCCGCCTGCTTTTGCACATAAAAGTTTTATTGGGACAGTAGTGTCTGATGTTTACTGTCGAACTTGTTGGAGACAGAGCTACAGGTCTCTGCTCAGGATGTCTCTGATATTTTTTTAAGATACGGTCTATAAAACAGAAACGTTGATTTTCCTGAACCCTGAAGACTACATTGATTGTTCAAAATTTGCATAATAGGTGTGAATCGCGTCTTTTTTTTTTTTTTTTTTGTTCTTCCAAAAATGCTTGTTTTGGTTGCACTGTGAGATAAGCCACAAGGGGCCCGTTAACATACTCTACCTTGTGACTCACAAGTCCCTCTCCACTGGTTTCAGTTAGTCAGCCCGCTCATCCCTCAGTCTCCAAAAGACTTGAAGCACAGGTGACCCAAATGTGACCTCTTAAAATGTCCCACTTACAAGACTGGGAGGAACTCCACTTTCCAATGGTAGACACTTGTGAAATGTTTTACTTATATTTTAACTTTTAGGGTAAGAAATCACTTAAAATTTTTCTTAAAAAGAAAATTCCTCTCATTTGATAAAAATCTGAAGCCGGAGCGGGAGGGATGGATCAGTGGTTAACAACACTACTCTTCTAGAGGGCCTGGGTTAGGCTCCCAGCACCCACGTGATAGCCCACAACTGTCTGTAACTCCAGTTCCAGGCGGTGGGACACCGTCTTCTGGCCACTACGGGACACACATGCGGCATACAGACATGCGTACAGACAAAACATCTTACACATAAAATAATAGGAGGATAAAACATTCAAAAAGCTATCTGTTGTGTGCATGTCCTGGTAGCTTACCTCGCTGTCTGGTCATACATGCACTCTTCAGCACCGACGGAATCACTCCGGAATTTCTGAAAATTTAAATTGTAGAATTGAAACCAACAGGCTGAGAATGTATGTAAACATTACCAAAAAAATGTAAGTAATAATGTAGTTAGTGGTAACCACAGTAAATAACAATGTAGCGGTAACCATATTCCATTACCATTTCATCATCTCCTGGGGAGGGGAAATTGGAATGTTTCCAGATTATCTACAGGTATCCTGTATCTTCAAACATAGAAACCACTTTCTTCAATTTTCTGTTGTCTCTAACACTGTATTTCAAACGTTACAAATTCAAAATTAACGGAAGACCGATTACAGAGACAAAAATAACACAGCAAAAGGCAGGCTAGTGGAGTAATTACAAGCATAATTTCTAGAGTAGGACCATCAAGCTAATTTACCTGACACTTCCATAAAATTGTGTGGCATTTTCTCTGTTAAGTTTCTACTCATAAGCCTGGTGCTGCTGAGACCAACCTGGTCTACAGAGCCAGTTATAGGACAACAGGGTCTACCCAGAAAAAACCCTGCCCTCCCAAAAAAAGTCTACTCATGGTATATGGTCACATTAGACAGATTAGCAAAATACCAAAAGCATGATCGGTACAGCACGAACATTTTATGTGTATTAGATCCAAGAAGATAGTAACCTGTTGACTGTATCCAGGATCCAAGCACTTCTCCTCACAGATGTTTTCAGAGTAGATTTTGAGAGGAGGTTCTAAAGTTAGTGTTACCCCAAGCAGCAGCCTGGGGCCTGGTGTGAGTGTGCTTGTGCACATGTATGTGCATGTGTGTGTATGTGATTGCTACATTTAGACGGTTTCAGATTTTAATGCCAGTGTGTGAAGGCTCTTGGCCAAGCCTGAGAACCTGAGTTTGATACCCAGAACCCACACAGTGGAAGAAGACTGACATCTGTAAGTGTTCCTTTGACCTCCCCATATGCCATGGCCCACGCTCACACACAAGAACACACAGGGACACATATACATACATATATACAGAGACACATACCCATACACACACATATACATACACACAAGAACACAAACTCTTGATCTGTAAAGCAAGAATGATATTGGTGACAGGGCATACACGCATTCTGTCCATGCATATATACAAGACTCTCGATCTCTGTGGTACATGCACGCTGTCCACGCAAATTCACACATCTGGTCCTTCCTCTACGACTCTCGTTCTCTGTGGTACATGCACGCTGTCCACGCATACATGCACATCTGGTCCTTCCTCTACGACTCCTGTTCTCTCTCTCTGTGGCTCCTCCTTCCTCTCATTTCCATTCTTTGCCCACTGCTTCAAGAGCTTCCTTCCTCGGGGAAAGACCTCACAGCTATTTCCAAATGGTGCTCGCAGCCCCCACCGCCGTGTCCAGAATTCAGCATGCTTTCATTTCTGCACTTTTTGCTGACACGCTTACTGTTCTTACTTAAGTCTTATTCCTCAGACCCAAGAAGACGACCTGCCCCCCCAAAACTTTACCCACCCGCATGAGCCCATCCACCCCACACAAGTGCTGGTGGGTTGAGTGGTCACGGGGGAGAATCAAAGGCATGGGGTTGTGTTTCTTTTGCAATCAGTCTGCAAACCCTTCAGAGAGAACTTTCTAGAGCTTTACCATCTGCTTGGTGCCAGAAGAAACATAGAAATTATATAAGATACCAACTTGGCCTTGGAAAAAATAAACCGGTTGAGAGGAATAAATTCACATGAAAAGCAACAATAAAGTAAACAAAAATACAACATCTATGCACAGAATTCCGTGTTGAATCACTCATTCATTCATTTATCCTAGAGGAAGAAGTCCATTTATTCATTCATGTATCCTAGAGGAAGAAGTTCATTTATTCATTCATGTATCCTAGGGGAAGAAGTTCATTCATTCACTCATTCATTTATGTATCCTAGAGGAAGAAGTCCATTCATTTATTCATTCATTCATTCATGTATCCTACAGGAAGAGGTCCATTCATTCATTCATGTATCCTAGAGGAAGAAGTTCATTCATTCACTCATTCATTCCTGTATTCTAGAGGAAAAAGTCCATTCATTCATTCATGTAATTCGGGTACAAGGTGAGCCTCCCTGAGTCAAGGCAAGGGTCCACTCATTCATTCATTCATTCATTCATTCATTCATTCATTCATGTAATTCGGGTACAAGGTGAGCCACCCTGAGTCAAGGCAAGGGTGCAAACATGGAACAGACATAGAGCCAGGGACACAGTCCTGGACAATTAATAAGGGAGGACTCACAGTCTAGATCTTCCCAGCCACCTGCAGTAGCCACTAGCTGTATGTGTTAGGTTAACAAAAACATAAATGCTCTGTTAGTTACTTGGCCAACTACCCACATTTTCAACACTAGGTTGCTAAATCTGGCTATCAACTTACCCTGTTGGAAGGAAGGAAAGAAAATGTTCATTGTCCAGCTGAGCTGGGCTATGGTTAAGAATGTTCCCGTTTGTTTTGTTTGCCCATTTGCTTTCTTTTTTTTTTTAAGATCATTTATTTACTGTGCGTGCAGTGTTCTGTTTATGTGTATCCCTGCCCACCGGATCTCATTACAGATGGTTGTGGGCCACCATGTGGTTTCCAGGAACAGACCTCGGGTCCTCTGGAAGAGAGGCAGTCAGTGCTCTCAACCTCTGAGAGTACTGACTGCCTCCTCTCCAGCCCTGCCCATTTTCTTTCTAAAGAGAGAAAAGCCATGGAGTTGAATGGGTGGAGGAGATGAGGGAGGGGAGCCAGGATCAGAACATAGGGTTTGAAAATGATGCTTAATTGAAAATCGTGACACCATATATTAGACCCTTGCACACCAGCACATTTAAAATGAGTGTTAGCATTCTAATTTTGTTCTTGAGGTGGGAAACAGACAGAAGATGTCTGCTAAGAATATACCACAAGAAGACAAGGATTCTTTATCTGCTGGGAAATATGATATGGCTAAACAAAGATGTCCTTCTTCACTGGCCACTGGTTTCAGGTTTGCCGTTCACTCTGTCATCTTCCCATCTATGCTGAAAATGCTCTTCACAGCAGCTGGAAACCACACGAGATCGGTACAGTATTGAACAAGACCACAGCAGGTCCCATTGCTGTGAATGTTTTTCATCTAGTAGGGGAGGGAGAGCATTCACCACACTTATGCAAAATAATAATAATAATAATAGCAGCTGGGGTGTCGCATTCCTTTAATCCCAGCACTCAGGAGGTAGAGGCAGGTGGATCTCTCTGAGTTCAAGGCCAGCCCAGGTGGATCTCTCTGAGTTCAAGGCCAGCCTCGTCTACAGAGTGAGTTCCAGGACAGCCTCCAAAGCCACAGAGAAACCCTGTCTCGAAAAACCAAAAAAAAAAAAAAAAAAAAAAAAAGAGAATCACACTTATGCAAGGCTAGCATGTCCCTCAGCAGTAACGCACTCGCTCAGCATGTGTAGGGCCAAGTTCAATCCCCGTTACAAACTGTCCAATCACGGTGCTGGAGCAGGCCTGTTCCCTGAGAGCCCATGCCACTTCCTGACTCCCTAGCAGGGACGATTCCAGTGTACCACAGATGAGGCTGACAAGGGAGGCACAGCCCTCTGCTGTCCCCCACGTTCACAATGGCACAGCTACCAAAGCCAGCTGCAGCTCCTCTCCATAGCTCTCTGAGAAAAGACACCCTTTGTCGGGGACTCACGCCACCCCCAGCACAATGAGTAAAGACATCCAGGGTTACATTTTGACAAGATCCAACCCAAAGTGTTCCCTTCCTTCATGCTCTCACCAGTGACAAACGCATGTTGTCAACTCAGCCAGAGTCCCAGACATTTCTGGAGTTTGCTGAAACGCGGTACTAGGTTTTAGATAAGTTTTCAACAACTACCTCAACAAGGAGATGGCTAACAATCCCAGATTCATAAAATCTGTGGTCCATACCACAGATCACAGATTCTCAGATCACTGATTCACAGATCACTCAATTCAATCCAAGACACCTGCAAAGCAAATGCCAACTGCTCCAAGGCAGAAGGAACAGCTGGATGGAGTGAGCAATGCCTCCCTTTTCCATCCAGAGAGTTTGCTAACTCAAGGACTCCAAAAAGCACCAAGTACAACAGCTTGATTCACGACCTTCTTTATCTAAAGCGCGCACGCGCGCACACACACACACACACACACACACACACACACACACACACACACACCTGACAGCATGTCCCCCAGTGTGACAGTTCCCTGGTCCACAGCCACACACTCTTCTGTGACTAACATATCTCTACACCAACGCCAACCCACCCAGAAAAACCATGGGCTTCCCATGGGACTGAGTGATGATGACTTCAGCTATTTGCCCCCCCCAACAGCACCCCTGAGTGCCTGGGGCAAGTCAAGTATTCAGCAGTATCCGACTACAAGATCCCTCACTCAGATTAAAACTACAAAAGGTTGTTGTTGATCTTAAGTGATGTCACATGAGCTGATTGGCAGATTTTTTTCCCTCTTTTTATTACAAGGTCATTAAAAGTCTAGTTTGCGAAACTACCAAGTTCAAGGAAATGTGATAACCCCTCGGGGCAGAGAAAGCTCTGACTGTGGTCACCCCCCACTTCCGGGACTGTGACATGTACCCATAAGCATCAAGTGCCAGCCGTGGCAGGGTTGCTAGTGTCCCTTTGAGAGCAACGGCTGCTGGCTAAGCTGCAGTGCCTCTGGCCCCTACCTGAAAGGTTAGCAATTTCTATTAGGATAGATAAGGAACGTGCAGATTTTAAACAAACACGGGGCGGTTTCACTGCCTTATGCAAGAGAATTAATGACAGTCTTAAAGGCGACACTCTCCTCCAAGAGGAGAAAGGCGAGCAGACTGACCAGCCCTCCTCACTAAGAAGACACAGATGACAATCATGAAATGAAATGGGTTGTCACTTCGAATGCTGTGGCTGTGTCCCTTAAACTTCATCTGTAAGAACTTGATCCTCAGCACAGGGGTGTGGGAGATGGGTCCCATAAACTAACCCCCAGTCTTGAGAGGGAGTTCTATGTTGTAAGGACAGGGCTGTCGTAAAAGCGAGGTTGTCATCTGTCACATGTATGTAGCCTTCACCCTTCTGCCGTGTAACAATACCAGTCATCATGAGCTGCGGCTCATGACTCTTAGGTGTCTCTACCCCAGTGGCATTGAACAGGAAGACAGATGAGGTCACTTGGCCATTGTACTTGCCTCTCTTTTGGAAACCAGCAGTCACTCCACACCCTACTTTATAGTTCCCGGAAAGCTGAATATCAAAAAGCCAACATCATTCATTTCTCAGGCGCTGCTCCTACATGACAAAGCGTGCACTCCTCACACAGTCCAGGTCCAGAACTGGAGAGGTGGCCCACAGCCATAGCCTCAGTGGATAACCTAAGATTCTACGGCACGAGGACATCTTTTCAAAATTAACAAAGGGTGCGGGAACAGCTAGTGTCACATGGGACCCCGAGCCTGCTTCATACCGTGTGGACAGTGGGCCAGAGATGGCTCAGCGGGTAGGGGCTGACAAGCTGAGTCCAATCTCCAAGATCCACACGGTAGAGAGAAAAAGCAATTCTCGGGAAGTTGTCCCCTGACCTCCGTCGGCATGTGCACACATAAATGAACACACGCATGCACGCATGGTTGGAGGTGGTGCCCACCTTCAATACCAACACTTGTGAGGCTGAGGCAGATGCGTCTCTAGGTTTCGAGCCAGTCTGGTCTACAGGGTGAGTTCCAGGACAGCCAGGATTACACAGAGAGGCCCTGTCTTAGAAAACATAATAATAATAATAGTAATAATAATAATAGTAAAATTAGAGCCAAGTGTGTTGGTGCACACTTTTAGTTGAGAGGAAGAGACAAGCAGATAACTCTGTGAGTCTGAGGGTGGTTTTATCTGCATAATGAGTTCCAGGACAGCCAAGATAGATTTAGGGGGAATAAAACTGTGTGTATGTATGTATGTACGTACGCATGTGTTGGGGAAGTCCTGTGTATATGTCAATAAAGCACTGTTGGCCAATAGGGAAGCAAGATAGGTGGGACTAGGAGTCGAGAACTCTAGGTAGGAGAAACACAGGAAGTCAAGATGTAACTGCCATAGGGATAAGAAGCCCAGAAAGTTCTCTGGTAAGAGAAATACTTAGATTAACAATTATGGGATAAATACTTAAGTCAGAGCTAGCCAGTAAGAAACAAGCAAGGCCAACAGCTTCATAATTAATATAGTCTCCTGTGTCTTCATTTGGGACTGATGCAGCTCTGGAACAGGCTGGCAGGAAGGCTTCTCTCTTTACACCTATGTGTTGTTTTTTTAAGACAGGGTTTCTCTCAGCTGGGCGTTGGTGGCGCACGCCTTTAATCCCAGCCCTCGGGAGGCAGAGGCAGGCGGATCTCTGTGAGTTTGAGGCCAGCCTGGTCTACAAAGTGAGTTCCAGGACAGCCTCCAAAGCCACAGAGAAACCCTGTCTCGAAAAACCAAAAAAAAAAAAAAAAAAAAAAAAAAAAAAAAGACAGGGTTTCTCTGTGTAGCCTTGGCTGTATGGAACTGGTTCTATAGATCAGGTTGGCCTTGAACTCACAGAGTTCTGCCTGCCTCTGCTTCCCAAATGCTGGGATTAAAGGCATATGCCAACACCTCCCAGCAAAATTATTTTTTTAAGTAGATCAGAAGCTTACATCTAAGGGGGAAAAGTACTAGCTATCCAGAAATATACAGAAGAAAATTGTTGAGACACTGCTTTAAACACACACACACACACACACACACACACACACACACACACACACACGGAAACTGTTGAGACACTGTTAGAAAAAGACATCTTAACGTTTAAAAGCATACACTGTAAGACAATTTGGTAAGATAAATTTGATCTGGTTGTATAACTATTCAAAGACTCTGGGATTAAAATCATATAGACAATAAAGGCTTATATCCATTCCTCTTGCCTAAAGAACTCTTTACAATTTAATAAAAAAGAAATACAAACTGCCAAGGACTTGAACAAACACTCCACATAAGATAAAAGGCAAACAATTTCAAGATACAATACACGGAGACATCATAGAAATGCAGATTGGAAACTAAATGGACGCTGAATTGGCACCAGGAGAGTTGGAGTTAAGCAGACTGTTTATACTGGCGTGTGGTGTAGAGAACAGGAATGCTCGTACATCACTGATGGAAATGAAAATAACTCATCAACTCTGTATTGCACGTATGTGCCTGATTAAGCACACATATACCTCATAACCCAGCAGTTAACTTCAGCCCTAGACACCCACAAGAAATGAGAGACTACACTGGCTAAGACATACAACTGTCTGTCCAGCAAAGCATTAATCACAACTCCAAATGCCCACCAGCTAATGGACTAGTCAACAAATTGTGATATGCACTCACCTTGGGATACTAATCAGGATTAAAAACCACAAACTGCTTACATGTAAGCAAAAATAAATAAATCCAGAAATATGCTAAGTGAAAGAAGACAATATAAAAGAGTATATTGCATTCAACTCACATTAAGTTTTAAAGGAACTTACGCTACGGTGACAGAGGCTGGTTAGCAATTACCAAGAGCCAGAAGAAAGAATACTTCAAGGTCAAACGGTTCACTTTAGGGTGAAAACTTCCTACATTGTGACTCTGACATTGATTGCCCATTTGTAAACAATTACTAAAATTTACTTTTATGTACTTAGAACTTGTGAGTCTAAACCATGTAGATAAACAAAACCAGTTGTCCCACAAAGTTTGAGAGCCTGAGAATACTCTGACCTCTCTATTTGTTACAAAGTACACACACATAAACACAATGGATTGTATGTATTCAACTTCTGGCTAGTCAGTCTTACAAAAGCGGCAAAGAGCCACATGGTGTCTAAGAGAGATCAGGTTTGCAACATTTTTAGAGACTACCTTTTGGAAAGTTCCAAGGTGATGAAGGTGATAACTGTACAGCAGTTAGTTCCACACAAGCTTCTCCTAAGCCCTCATAAATATTTATGACTCAAACCAAAACAAAATATAACCTAAGAAGGGCTGTGGTTAAGAGCACTGGCTGCTCTTCCAGAGGACACGAGTTTCAATTCCCAGCACCCACGTGGCAGCTCCCAACTGTCTGTGACTCCTGTTCCAGGGGATCTGACGCCCTCATAGGGACATACCTATGCAAAACACCGACGCACATAGTGTGTGTGTGTGTGTGTGTGTGTGTGTGTGTGTGTGTGTGTGTCCTAAGAGATAAGACAGAAATATTCCTCCACATATTTAAAAATATACCAAATTACCAACAAACACGTTAAAAATAGTAACAAGAGGGGCTGGAGAGATGTTGGCTCGGCGGGGTTAAGAGCACTGGCCACTCTTTCAGAGGACCCAGGTTCAATGCCCAGCACCCACGTGGCAGCTCACACCTGTCTGTAACTCCAATGTCTGACACCCTCACAGACAAACAAGCAGGCAAGACACCTATGCACGTAAAAATAAAAATTTAAAAATAACATTAACAAGTGCAGATAAACTCAAGTTCATGCAATCCCTGGAATGGAAAGGGTGGGGGGCGCCGTGTCCTGGAACTCACCTCGGCGGCCCCCTCTTTGAAGCTCTCACTGTAGGTGCTGTCGGGGGTGCTGCGCTGGTCGTCCTTGAGATAGGAGCTGTGGCTGGCTATGGAGGGCAGGTCATACTGAGTCTGCTCGAAGATGACGACGCGCTGCTCCTCGCCGTCGGCGCGAGGATAGTGCACCGGGGGCCCCATGAAGACCGGCGTGAAGTCCTCGGCCTTCACCACGGTGATGCCCGACACCGGGATGACGGCGGGGCTCTCGGTGATGGACACGCTGTACTGCTCGCGCTTCGAGGTCTCCACGTGGTCCTGGCTGAGGCAGAGGTTCACAGGGACAGTCTTCAGGACCTGCACGCGGTTCTCGCCTCCGATCAAAGTGCTGTGGGCTTCACTGGTGCCGAGACAGTTTCTGTGTGCCCAGACCCACGACATGATAGAGTTAGAGTCAATCTCCGCTTCAAAGACCTTGCAGGCGGCCGTCCTGCTAATAACCGTGAAGGGAAGAGCTGGTAGGAACCTCACAAGGGGGTGTCGTGGATTTCTGTGTCACTGCAACTAAGACAGCTAAGTATGTGTGCCCCAGGATGGTCCATAAAACACAGACCTCGCTCTTAAGAAGCGAGGGTTGTACGCCGGGCGTTGGTTCCCTTAGTGACAAGGGAAATTTACCAAACAGCAGAGCTCAATAGGGGAAGGGAGGAATGATGGATGGCCCATGCCATTAATACCAGTACTCAGGAGGCAAAGACAGGCAGATCGCTCAAAGGCCAGCCTAGTCTACATAGCAAGTTCCAGGCCAGCCAGGGTTACACAGTGAAACACTATCTTAAATAAATAAATAAAATCTGAACATCCAACCATGATGGGTAGACATTATATGATATTATTTGAACCTTAGCTTAAATAAAAATGATAGGTATGACATATTATGACCTTTGAGGCAGTGACTGAAACTGTGAATTAGGCAACATTTAATATTGATAATTTAGTTGTCAAGATTTTGTTTATAGTAAACCTTACAAATTTATTTATAATAAAGTGCTGTTAGTTTTTAAAGATACAAATCGAAAGTAAAGGTGAAGCCGGGCGGTTGGTGGCGCACACCTTTAATACCAGCACTCTGGAGGCAGAGGCAGGCGGATCTCTGTGAGGTCGAGGTCAGCCTGGTCTACAGAGCGAGTTCCAAGACAGCCAGGACTACACAGAGAAACCCTGTCCCCCCCCAAAAAAAGTAAAAGTGAAACGATTTGACAGTGGAATTTTAAGGTATTTGGGGAGAACATGGTGGATAAAAGGAATAATAGCAAAAACGTATGTTTGTTGTCCTGTCACATGGGATGGGGCTCCATTCCCATCCTCTGTGCTTTGTATACAGAAACTCTCAAAGGGGGAGAAAGATCACCATCACAGCTCATGCTTGCAATCGTGGCAACTGGGAGGCTAAGGGAGATTACTCAAGTTTGAAGCCAACCTGTGCTACTTACTGAGATGCAGGCCAACCTGGGCTATCGAGTGAAACCTTGTCTCAACTGGACAGAGAGAGAAGACAGATAGGCTAATTTGAAGAGCTGACAGGAAGGTATTTTTCACCAGTCTTGTGAAACAGAATAAGAAATGGCCATTTTATTTTTCATGAACATTGCAGCATTTAATTACTTTAGGGGTTTAAGGAAACGCTTAAGTACAATGGGGTCATTGATGGCCAGTGCCGTACAGAGAAAGAAAGTAGCTTAGGAAGTTCAGTTTCGGTAGGATATAATAAAATACTTTTGTTTGTATCAAAGAATTTGGGTAGAGATCAGGAATAAAGAGGAGTGTAGATTGCTGTGGATACTAAAATGTGACCTTGCTAACAGCGGCCCTCCCAGTTAAGCCTGTAGAAGGAGCATTTGTGAACCGTTTTCTATACAGACAAGAGAAAGCACAAGTTTTTATTGGTCCTCGTTTTTTTTGTTCTTTGTGAATTGAGTTACTTATATCTAGCATGTGCTGTCTGGGGTCACCTGACACATTCTGTTGAAAGAATAAACGCTTGAATAAAATTGGTTTTCTCAAGAATCAAGCTTCCCTGGTTTCTCCCCATAAAGGAGACGCAATAAATAGTCTCTAGGCTTACCTACCGAACAACAGTTGGTGGTTTGAATTTTGATTTTTCAGCTGGAACTTCAAAAAAAAAAAAGACTGCAGAAGCAAAGTCAACAGAAAGATACCGGAACATCTGAGGCTATCACAGATGTGCGACAATGACTCTTGAAATAAACTCCCCGAAGAATCAAGTCTACAAACATGACTCTAAGCTGTCCTCGCGGTCAGATGAGTCAAGTGATGCCAAAATTCAGACCACCCATTTGCATGAACATCTCATAAAGACCCTGTCCCAAAAACTTCATGCAATGTTAATAAGGCTCCATCAAAAAGAGAATGAATCCATTATTTTTTTAAAAATTCAGTGTTAATTCAGATTTAAATGTTTAAAAAAAGAAGAGAAAAAAACCAATGTTAAAAAGTAAACATGGCGGGGTGGGCATGGGGGATGGATCTGTGTTGTCACAACAAGACCGCCTTAGTGGATCCAAGCAAGACGAACACAGTGAATGCCCTTGGGCATTCCTTCATCTCTTTAATTGTAATCTAGGGCTTCATTAACCCATTTCATCCATCCAGGACCATCAATATTTGTGGATAACACACTGAGGGGATGGCTGTGAATGGTTTCTTCCTCAGAGACAGGTAAGCACAGCAATATCCCGAGAGCCACATGGGACCCTTTACAGACAGCACTTCCGGGTGTGCCAAAAACATTCAAATTCTGTTTAGTCTAGCTCAGGCCACATTTCTTTTTTTCTTTTTTTCTTTCTTTTTTTTTTTTTTTTTTTTTTTGGCTTTTCGAGACAGGGTTTCTCTGTGGCTTTGGAGGCTATCCTGGAACTCTCTCTGTAGACCAGGCTGGCCTCGAACTCACAGAGATCCGCCTGCCTCTACGTCCCGAGTACTGGGATTAAAGGTGTGCGCCACCATTGTCCCGCTTAATTTAATTTTATGTGTAAGAATGTTTTGCCTACATGCATCTACGAGATCAAAAGGGTAACAGATCCCCTGAAACTGGAGTTAGGAAGATTGTGAACCAACACGTGGGTGCTGGGAACCAAACCCAGGTCCTGACAGAAGGCTCACTGAGCCTCTCTACAGAGCGTTTGTGGGGTGGGTAGCTTTTTTAAGACAGGGTCTCTCTCTCTCTCTCTATGTAGCTGTGGCTGTCTTGGACTCAATATGGCCTCAAACTCGTACAAATCCATCTGCCTCTGCTTCCCAAGCGCTTGGATCAAAGGCGTGTGCCATAGTGCCTGGCTTTCTTTTTCACAACACACAGGAAGTCATTTCTAGGGGCAAATATGTTTCCTCACATGTACCATACCTTTTATCCTGGTCTTCTTGGCTGTCGCTTGATTTGCTCACAGACAGAAGTCGCTTGTCTCGAGGAACCTGGAAATCAGCAGGGGAAACCATCAGACTTACTGGCGGAGGCAGGCACCAAGACGGGCAAGGAAACAAAATGGAACTTCCTCTCTGAAGAAGTAGATGGTTATTGTCGGGAAATGGTTAAGAGTGAGCAATGATTAAGAGGGGAAGTGGAGACAAGGGGGGTTGGCCAGTGCAGGTTCGTGCTAACCATGATTCAGCTGACCCAGGAGATGCTCCTATGCGTCCCAGCCTGAGGAACAGGTGAGGCAAAGACCTGTGTGTGTAGAGTGAAGGGGGGGGGGGGTGAATGGAAGCGTCCCGCTGAGGAACGTGGAGGAGGCTTGAGCTGGACGCCGGGTGCTGACAAGGGCTTGGGGAGGATCCTGGGCTGGGGCCTGACAGTTCAGCTAGTCTGACAAGGAGCATCTCTCAGGAGCACTAACCCTTGCCCAGGAAACTGACCTCCAGTCTTTCCAATCATCTCATTCCTATGCATGATGCCAATGTGTCACGTGACACATTTTTGAAATGTCCTCTGAGGCCTGGCATTGGTGGTGCATGCCTTTAAGCCCAGCACTCGGGAGGCAGAGGCAGGTGGATCTCTGTGAGTTTGAGACCAGCCTGGTCTACAGAGCGAGTTCTAGGACAGCCTCCAAAGCTACAGAGAAACCCTGTCTTAACCCCCCCAAAAAAGGAAGAGAGCTGGAGAGATGGCTCAGAGGTCAAGAGCACTGATTGCTCTTCCAGAGGTCCTGAGTTCAGTTCCCAGCAACCACATGGTGGCTCACAACCATCTGTAATGAGATCTGGCGCCTTTTTCTTGTATGCATACATACATGGAGGCAGGATATTGTTTTCATAATAAATAAATAAATCTTTTTAAAAAAATAAAGAAAAAAAAAGTCCTCCGAGAGAAGGGAGACCCCACCAGCTGCAGACATATGAGTAAGGAAGGGGTTTGCACTTGGTGGCCTTGGTAGATTCTTCTGCGTTTGGTTTTGACCTTGCCCATCTATTTGTGGCTAACCCTGAAGAGATTCTTCTCAGGCAGTGCTATCCCTGCTTTGAGATAAACACACAGAAGGAAGCATCCTCCTACTAGAGCCCTCTAGGAATCCCTGTGGCTTCCACTCAGTGAAATACATCCACAAGCTGAGATGGCTGAAGGAGAAAGGGTGGCAAGAGTTTGACACCCCCACCCCCATCCTCGCCCTCCCAGTGCCCCCCATCCCCACCCCCACCCCCCAATGCCCCTCACCTCCCCCACCCCCCATCCCGTGCTCAAGCCTAAGCCAAACTCAGTCCTGTGTCCCTCCTGTGTAAACAGGACTTCATGGTGATTCTAAACTCAAAGGTTTTGTAGTGCCAGACTACTTAGGAGGAGCTGCTACTTTATATAGATAAACCAACTCCAAGTCTCCATTCAGGGACTCTGGGCAAGCACTCTTGCTGCCTCCCTTATCAACTGACTTTTTTTTAATTGTTAAAACTGTCAATTTTTTTTTTTACTATTTGTCTGCAATAAGGGAAAGTTGCTTATCCATTTGTCGCTGAGCAACAGACTGAAAACAATGAAAAGGAACGCCCAGCGCTCCCAGAATGGTCTAGGCTGAGAAATGATGCGGTCTAACCTAGTGAGTTCTCTGCCTCTGCACCATTCTCTGTACACTTCAGCATGCTTTCATTCCAGAAGGTTTCAGAGCTATTCTTGTGGTTTTACTTTCTCCCTCCCCCCACCCCACCATGGGATTTCTCTGTGTAGCTCTGGCTGAGCTAGAATTCCGTCTGCTAGCCTTGAACTCAGAGACGGGTTTTGCCTACCAACCTGACTCTACTCATGAGTTTTTCAAATGAACTATTGATAGGGGATGTCCATCTGTGTATGTTTCTCTTACTGGTGGATGAATAAAGCACTGTTGGCCAATGAGGCAGGAAGATAGGTGGGACAAGGAGACAAGGAGAATTCTGGGAAGTATAGGCAGAGAGCAGTTGCCATGTAGGCCACCACAAAGAGTAACAGGTCCGTGCATTCTCCCGTAAGCCAAGACCACGTGGAAATACATAGGTTAATAGAAACAGGTTAACAATTAAGGCAGAGATTGCCAGTAAGAAACCCTAGCCACCGGCCAACAGTTTTGTGATTAATATAAGTCTCTGAGGGTTCAATTGGGGCAAAGTGGCCATGGAATCAGGCTGGAAAGAAAGCCTTTGCAACAAACTGTTCAGTCAGGGGGGGAAAAAAGGAAGAAAATCACAAAAAGAAAAGAGGAAAGCACCAAAATCCGTTTTGGGATGTGGGCTTCTTTTCTGCAGGTGTAAATCTTCACTGCACGCTTTCTGTCACCCAGAGCCCACATCCCCCAGAGGTAAAGCCCACCTGACAGATTATCAGCATCTGCCCAGACATCCTTTCCAGCTAAGGAAAGCCAGGCTAGACCAGCAAAGGTACAAATGAGATAACCTGGCACTTACTGAGGATAAATGATGTATTTATCTGAGGTTATGAGGCCCCCAGCTAAAATGCCCTGATGGACATACCCTTACATCCCTCATCTCTGTCCCTTGCAGCTGGCTCTGTCTTAGGTGAAGCAATAGGAAGCAGAGACCCAAGGTCAAATTGTTGTTCTTGGTGGTTCTGGCCAAAGCTGATTCCCCACAATGGAAGGAGAATGAGAGGCAGGAGCCAGTTTAACTGTGCCCAATTGGCAAAAAGGCCTTCCCATCACACTGCCAACTCCCAGCATCAGCTAAAGGCATCTCCAGCCGGAGCAACCCAATCGTACTCCTTATTTTCTAAATATAACTCGTTGACCTTCTACACGCAACGGTTCTCAGAGGGCAGGCCATAACTCTTTACACTTAAAGCTCACTGCTGTTTCTTGTTTAACCTCCTGAGATGCTCGTACGTTAAAACTACTGTCTGGCCAGTATTTCTTCTAATGTTACATTCTGTTTTAAGGACATTTTCAAAATGAAAACAAATGGAGACAATCAGGGCTGGAATCCTCATGAGCGCACTCCCAGGAATGATGCCCAGAAAACAGAGACATCTGGGGCCCCCAAATGTTTCTTATTAAAGAAACAAGTAAAATGCTGACAGCTGGCCATGACTAATCACGACATAGTCACATAAAGTAAAACGGCAGAAGGGGAATAAGTAAGACTGCAGCTCTAGGGGATCTATCACCATCTTCTGGCTTGTGCACACACACATACACATACACACACACACACACACACACACACACACACACAGAGAGACAGAGAGAGACAGACAGAAGCACAGAGACACACACAGAGATATACATATAGATAATTTTTTAAAAGAAATGAGTATTCCCTAATTTAAACTTCTAAGTGGGGAATAGAGTTGGGTTTCAAGGCCAGGGGTTGGGTAGAGACAACACAAAAAGGAGAATTCCACCTAAGTCCAGGAACCTGGAACAAAGAATCTGTCCCACTTGCCACGGATGAAATGAGTCCCTGGAGGCAGGGAGAGGAGGGAGGCTGGTCCAGGACCCACCTTGTAGTAGTCATAGAGAAGGCCTAGGGCGGCAGCACTGTCCTCGTCACCGTTGATGCTCATCATGGCCTTGGTGGCCGCAGTCAGGGGGTTCTCCAGGTAAGACTTCCAGGCTTCATCCTCGCTGGTGTAGGCTCTTCGGGTGTTGAAGGGGGGGTCACTGGGCATGGGCACTAAGGCCACTAGTCTTTTATTACTGTAAGAACAAGAAAATTGCAAGGCTCGTAATCAGGGGACTCCCCATTTTTTCCCTCTGATACAATACGTGTCGTGTGGTTACGCGGATTTGTGTTCCCCTAGGGAAAGGCAGCTTAGAACTGCAATGACCGCCCACTGCACTTACAAACCCTCAGCCTATGTCTTCACTGCGCATGAAGAATGCTGATAACTCTTAAAGAGAGTAGCAAGGGGAAATGGCTCAGTGATGATAGAGCTTACGGCTCTCCAGAAGACCCAGGTTCAATTCCAACGACAGTTTCAGAACAATCAGACACTGTGGCCTCCTCAGGAACTCCACCCAGATGGCACATATAAACACGTAAACCCATTCACACACACACACACACACACACACACACACACACACACACACACACACACACACAAAGTATTTTTTTAAGTCTGGCAGTGGTGGCGCACGCCTTTAATCCCAGCGCTCAGGAGACAGAGGCAAGTGGATCTCCATGAGTTCAGGGCCAGCCTGGTCTAGAGTTTCAGGACAGGCTCCAAAACTACAGAGAACCCCTGTCTCAAAAAACAAAAACAAACAAAAGAAAAGTATTTCTTAAGAGTCTATCTAGTTAGCTTACAACACTCTCCTTAAAACTTGGGTTTCTGTGTCTAACCATTCCAAATAATTTAATTATTCCTCATTAATGAGAGCCAGAACAGAAGCCTGGGAGATCAATTTCCCTTAAACTAAATTCTAACTTCAAACATCAGTTACATATAATCAATAGGCTAAGGATTGAAATCGCTTTATCAAATTTAATCTTTCTTGAAGTTCCTGGGAAATTACAGACCAATCTAAATCACTTAAGAAGAGCAACATAAGGCACTTGGTGAACACAACACATTAATACGGACGACACTGTGTGACAGAGCCATGGAGGGACGTGATAAGACAAGCGTTACATATGAATCCCATTTGCTGTAGGGTTCTACTGGGTTAAGATGATATGGAAGCATTAGGTTAGGAATGAGGAGACTAGGGGGCGTACCTGGAGAATTTCCTCCAAGAGACAGTGAGTGAATCAGTGTTAACCAGGTCAACCTTGTGTAGAGCAGCAACCTCTTATGGTAAATGTGACAATGACTCAAATATCCAAAGACCGTGACAGTCCTCTGCAGCACTCCACGAGGAAAGCCAAGGCGACAAGTAACAGAGTCTGGAGAAACTGTCACTGACTCCTTGGCCCTTCTTTCTTATTCATTGAAAGGAAACCAAAGTGGAACAAAGATGGGAGACATCCTTCTGTATATATGCGTCTTATTGGTTGGTGAATAAAACACCGTTTGGCCAATAGAGGCAGTAAGATAGGCGGAACTAGGAGATGAGGAGAATTCTGGGGGAGAAGCAGAAAGGTACCAGGAGAGACACCATGTAGAGACCAGGAGGGAATGACACGTCAGGCGTTCTCTGGTAATATAAGACCACGTAGAAATACATAGATTAGTAGTTATAGGTTAATGATAAAGACAGGACTAGTCAGTAAGAAGCCCTAACTGTCAGCCAACAGTTTTATAATTAATGTAAGTCTTTGCATGTTTATTTGGGGCTCAAAGTCAGCGGGACCTTGCAGGAAAGACCCTCCAGTTACAGAACAATGATACTGCATTCAAGCAACACCTACTCTAATACTAGGTCACATGACATGGCTACGCGGCAACGCCAGTGACAGAAAAAACAGCAATCAGTGGCAGCTCAGCTGCCCCAACCTTCTTTCTGGTGGTAGTCAAGTTCCAAAGACAGTCCTCTGCAATCTCCTGGTGGCCGGTGTTGCTTGGCTCACTTATGGGTGTGTGAACTTCTAAGGAAAAGTGAACTTAAGGTCCTCTGTGTGGTGGCATGGCGCCACGCATTCTGCAGGGTCCAAAAGTGATATTTGGGTTGCAAGAACATATTTGAGATGGGGGTGGCCCAGGTGGGGAGTAACATTTATCAGGTGGGATCTCAAGGCATGAGTTCCCCAGCCTGACTCAAGCTCTCTGTGGCAGCGGCTTCATACAACCCACCAGGGACTAAAAGCACCGACTCCATGAGGTGAGGCAAATGCCTGCCGAGGATGAGGCGGTGTGGTGACACAGGCTCTGCCTGTTCAGGAGCCCACCGCGAGGGAGAACTGAGGGGACGCCTGTGTTCGTTTCTCCCGTCGTAAGATAGGCAATGCCCACCTGCCTGCCTCATTGTACCATGGGAATAACTGGTAACGGGGCCCCGGGGAGAATGCAGTGCTCTGAGAGCAAATGGCATTGCCGCCAGCGTGCTCTTCCGTGTTCCTAGCACTCGCGATTCCATAGGATTTGCTGAGAGCCCAAGAGGTGACCCTCGTGCTATTGAACACAGAGCAATGAACGGGGCGGATACTGTCGCCCGCAGGGCCTGGTAGAGAAGCCTGGAGAGCCACTTTGCAGGGGCGGGGGCGGGGCAGGGGTAGAAGAAGGAAACCCGGGACCGAAAGACAAGGAGACAGAGGAGAGATGGAAGGCGTTTTTTTCAATTAATAATAGCTCATCATTCAGAATGCATTATTTTTATAATACAAGTATGTTTAACTCATTTTGGGAAGACCAATAGGGAAAAAAAAACTTTTTTTAAAAAGATTTTATTATGTATACAGTGTTCTACCCACATGTTTGCCGGCACTAGATCTCATTACAGATGGTTGTGAGCCACCATGTGGGTGCTGGGAATTGAACTCATGACCTCTGGAAGGGCAGCCAATGCTCTTAACCACTGAGCCATCTCTACAGCCCCAAAAGCCTCTTTTTCTTAAAAAAGCAAAACAAACTTCTAAAGGCAAAGGATGCCAGTCAACAAGACAAAATGGTACCCTCCCTACAGAATGGTCAAAAGATCTTCACCAACCCCACATCTGGCAGAGAGCTGATCTCCAAAATGCACAAAGAACACAAGAAGCAAATCTCAAAAATACCAAATAATCCAATTAAAAAATGGGTACAGATATAAACAGAATTCTCAACAGAACAATCTCAAAGGGCAGAGAGACAGCTAAGGAAATGCTCAACATCCTTAGTCATCAGGGAAATGCAAATCAAAACCACTTTGAGATGCCATCTTACATCTGTCTGAATGGCTAAGATCAAAAACATCAATGACAGCTTATGCTGGAGAGAATGTGGAGAAAGGGGACACTCCTCCATTGCTGGTGGAAATCAGTATGTCGATTTCTCAGAAAATCATGGATCAACCTACCTCAAAACCCTGCAATACCACTGTTGGGCATATACCCAAAGGAGGCACATTCACATCACAAGGACATTTGCTCAACTATGTTCATAGCAACATCATTCATAATAGCCATATCTTGTAAACAACCTAGATGCCCCTCAACTGAAGAATGGATAAAGAAAATGTGGTATATTTACACAATGGAGTACTACTCAGAGTTAAGAAACAGTGGCATCCTAAATTTGCAGGCAAATGGACAGAACTAGGAAAAAAACATCCTGAGTGAGGTAACCAGAAAGACACATATAGTATGTGCTCACTCATAAGTGGGTACCAGACATAAAGCAAAAGATACCCAGCCTACAATCCACAACCCCAGAGAAGCCAGAACCCTCTTCCAGAAACAGATGGAAGCAAATCCACAACTAACCAATGGGCAGAGCTCCTGGAGTAGAATCAAAGTGAGGGAGGAGCGATAATATGAACAAAGGAGTCAAGACCGTGATGGGGAAACCCACAGCATCAGCTGACCTGAGCTAGAGAGAGATCACTGACTCAGGTCTGACAAACGGGGAACCTGCATAAGACTGAACTAGACTCCCTTAATATAGGTGACAATGGTGTGACTGGGACAATATATGAGGCCACTGGCAGTGGGTCCAGACCTAACACCAATGCTCAAACTGACTTAGTGGAGCCCATTCTATATGGAGAGACACCATGCCCAGCCTAGACACAGGGATGTGGGGGTGGAGATCTGCCTTGGTCCTGCCTCAACTAGATGATACAGACCTAGTGGACTTCCTAGGGGAGGCCTCACCCTCTCCGAGGAGCAGATGGGAGGGGAGGGGGGATGTAGGAGTTGTGGGGAGAGCGGGAGGAGAAGAGGGAGGAGAAACAGGGATTGGAATGTAAAAAATAAATTAATTAAAAAAAGCAAAACAAAAAACATAGCATTGCCACTGTGTAAAAATAACTGATGACGGAATATAAGTTATACGCGCAGGCCTGGAAGTGTCTGCAGCAGAGGCAATGAGGCCTGGGGGAGAAACCCGGAGAACTGGGGTCCCAGGCTGTGAGGGTGCCACCCTCCTCCCCAAAGAGTTTACTTTGGCCACCCCTGTTTACACTTCACTCGGAGAAAACGGAAAGAGATTCCCGAGAGTCACTGAGTGAAGCGGGAGACTCAGGAAAAGATTCCAAAGTTTACAACACTGAAGCACGGTTTCGGGTGTCCTTGCCTTTGCGTCATCGTAAGGAGGGAAAACTCTTGGGTCGTATCCTAGAAAGCCGTGTTTGCAATTGCCTGGCATGGGAAGGAATAGACAGTAAGAGCGCATGCCAAGGGAGAGGAGGAGGGTCCGGGTTCACCCTCGGCCCTGCGGAGGAGGGTGCGAGCCTGCCGAGGAGGGTGCCCTGCGGAGGGGGAGGGTGCTCTGCGGAGGAGGAGGGTGCCCTGCAGAGGGGGAGGGTGCGAGCCTGCGGAGGAGGGTGCGAGTCTGCGGAGGAGGGTGCCCTGCAGAGGGGGAGGGTGCCCTGCGGAGAGGGAGGGTGCTCTGCGGACGAGGAGGGTGCCCTGCAGAGGGGGAGGGTGCGAGCCTGCGGAGGAGGGTGCTCTGCAGAGGAGGAGGGTGCCCTGCAGAGGGGGAGGGTGCTCTGCGGAGGAGGAGGGTGCTCTGCGGAGGAGGAGGGTGCCCTGCAGAGGGGGAGGGTGCCCAGCAGAGGAGGAGGGTGCCCTGCAGAGGGGGAGGGAGCAGCGGCTGACACTGGCTTTGCTAAACCCTTAGCCGGAAGTGTGGCCTGATAACCGCACAGATTTTTCTTGCTCTTCCTTCTTGGCATCCGCCTCCTCCCTGCCGCCTCCAGCTCTTCCTGGCACAGTTCACTGGTGACTGTAGGGGACACCAGTGTCCCTCTAGGAGGAGACTGTTGGTGGGTAAACCTTTGCATGACTGGGGTGGGGCGGGTGGGGGTGGGGATCTTAGAAATCACAATTTCTTTTCACTTATTTTTTATGTTCTAACTTTTAACCTTGAAAACTCTTGTCTCATTCTTCTGAGGATACACACAATGTTTCTGACGCAGAACACCGTAAAATGAAGCTTGATCTGGAAAAAAAAACGAACCATGTCTCTGATATGATGAAAAGAAAAATGCAGTTACTGCCAGAGAGAAATGAAACTGCATATAACAGCATTTACCCGCTACAAATGATCTTTTCTTGGCATATGGTGTGTGTGTGTGTGTGTGTGTGCGCGCGCGCGCGAGTGCATGTACATGGGTATGTGTGTGCATGTGCATGCGTGTGTGTGTGTGTGTGTGTGTGTGTGTGTGTGCGCACGTGCACGTTAAATTCTTTCTAGCTGTGAGTTTTATCACCATTCACTGGGGGAAAAAAACAAGTTTAAATCTGCTTCAGTCAATTTTTACAGGATTCCTCTCTGCATCCTGGCTCTCCTGGAACTGGCCTTGAACTCAGAGATCTGTCTGCCTCTGCCTCCCCAGTGCTGGGACAAAAGGTGTGTGCGCCGCCACCACCAGGTGCTTCAGTCAATCAATGCTTAAGCGTCTTTCATGAAGCCATTGGGTTCACAATCTGGGTGGCCTCTGAGCAGATGTGAACTTGACCTCTGGGTCCCTCTTTGAGGACCAAAAAAAAAAAAGTAGGCGAGCATCCGAACACCACAGCGACTCTCACACCACTTTTTGTTTTCTCTGGTTCGCTACTGTGCTCTGTGTACGCAGGGCAGGCAGCAAGGCTGGGAACCGAGTCATGGTCGCAGTGATGGAAGGAGCAGTGACAACTTAAGACCTGAGCCACCAGAGACTGTGAGCCCCCAGCCAGGACCAGCCTCATCTTGCCAGGGACACCTCCCCAGCCCCCAGCCCCCATCAAGAGCATTCTCCCTGCCCTGGACGGCCTCCACCCTGCCAGGGACACCCCACCCGTAGGAACAGCATCTCAATGCCTTGGCGGGGTTAGATCTTACTGCAGGGAGACTTTGATGAGGGACTCAGGAAACCTAACTGGTGACATCTTCACCTCGGAAATGCCATGTCTTTTTTTTTTTTTTTTTTTTTTTTTTTTGGTTTTCCGAGACAGGGTTTCTCTGTATTGTTTTGGAGGCTGTCCTGGAACTCGCTCTGTAGACCAGGCTGGCCTCGCACTCACAGAGATCCGCCTGCCTCTGCCTCCCGAGTGCTGGGATTAAAGGCGTGCGCCCCCAACGCCCGGCATGCCATGTCCTTTTTATGTCAGTCACCATGTCCTTCCTGACGGCTTCCATCTTAGCCCTCCACGCCATTCTCATTCATCTCTCCAGAACTTCCCTCCTCCTCACACCCGGAGTCTGCTGGAGCCATCTTCACGGAACACCCGCTTTCTAGAATGTAGTTTGAGTGCAGATTGCCTAGATCAGGTCCAGACCCCTCCAACTGATATTTGTTCCAATCATCTAGTTCCAGTTTCCTTGCCAAATTTTGCATCTTCTACTTGCTTCATATGGAAAACTAAACAGTTATCTGCTGGACCTTGAAGACTCCATCATTGCCTCCTGACCTTAGAGCCCCTTCTCTCCCTCCTTCCCCTCCCCCCTTCAGAATGTTTTCCAGGAGTTTCCCTATTTAGTTCTCCAGTTTCCTTTTTCCAAGAGCTCCCAAAGCATGTGTACTGTTTATGACATAATCTACCTTAAGTTCTCTTTGCCCAAAGACAAACACAAGGAGGAGAGCCGCCAGAGACACCCCAAGTGGCGTTCCCCCAAGCAAAACCCTGTAGCCGCTTCCAGCGGTCCTCCCCATAAATCTCGACTACCTTAGGTTCCCAGCCTTTTCAAGACACTCTAATGATCTGGAAAGCCCCGCCCCCCCCACTAGCATTGCCTTTGGCTTCCTTCTACGTGTGTGTCAGTTTCCACCATGTGCTTCTCCCCTGGTAAACACATCTAGAAATCCAGACGGACATCAGGCACTTGGGCTCAAGAAACATGCCGGTTATCTCTGTGAGTTCGAGGCCAGCCTGGTCTGCAAGAGCGAGTTCTCCAGGACAGCCTCCAAAAGCCACAGAGAAACCCTGTCTCGATAAAACCAACCAACCAAAACAAAACAAAAACATGCCAGTTATGTGTTTAGGAAAAACGGATGCAGGAGATGGTGCTGTATTCAGATCCTGCTAACTAGCTGCTACCTGACCACATCTCTTTTTCCTGCCTGAGGTAAACTGCCAGATTAAATGGGAGAAATGCATGTGCTGCTCCTAGAGGAGACTCATCAGGGAGTGGTGGCTTCTAACTGGATGCAAAGATTAGAATAGACAAGATAAGGTGGGGAAGCCAAAAACCTCATCTCCAACCTCCACCACCCCCTCCAAGTCCATCTCCAGCCTCCACCACCCCCTCCAAGTCCAGGCCAGCCCTTAGCCTTCCTTATCTCTGTGGATTGTAAGGCTGCTCACTCTTCCAGCTGTAATGCTTCAAACCCTTCACTTCTCTTTCTTTCTTTTTTTTTGGGGGGGGGTTTCAAGACAGGGTTTCTCTGTGACTTTAGAGGCTGTCCTGGAACTCGCTCTGTAGTCCAGGCTGGTCTCGAACTCACAGAGATCCGCCTGCCTCTGCCTCCTGAGTGCTGGGATTAAAGGCGTTCACCATCAACTTCCTTCCTTCGTTTGTTTGTTTGTTTGTCTTTTGTTTTTGGAGACAGGGCTTCCCTGTATATCTTTGGAGGCTGTCCTGGAACTCGCTCTTGTAGACCAGGCTGGCCTCGAACACACAGAGATCCGCCTGCCTCTGCCTCCCGAGTGCTGGGATTTGAATCCTTGATTTCTCACATTCACTGCATTAGAAAATCCTTCCAGGGAACCTGACAACCTCTCACCACCCTTGCTTGGTCCAGCCGCTGCATCCTAACTCCTGGACGGTTCCTTGTATCTTGGGGAAGGAGGGGCATCTCCCAGACGGACTCTCCATCCTTGACTCCTGCTAGTCACATCTGCAAGGAGCCCCATCCCACACCACGCCAGAATCAGTTCGTTTGAGCAGTAGTGTGTGGGAAAGTGACAGTTTGTCACTTTCATAGTCAGATCATGAGTCCGTCTCCCTGCCACCCCCTTTATCTATTCGTGAGCTCTGGCAGAGGACCACTGCCCTATTGTGTCGAAAAGCTGACCTCCCTGACCAGTGGAGGGACCAAGGGCATCAACCACAATTCTCCAGCCGCCTCACTCAGCTGGGTGACAACCTGAGCCAGAACCATTGGGGTAAGTTGTTGTCCCCAGGCTGTAGGGGATAAAAACCCAATTGAAGAATACTATCTCTCCTCAGGCTCCCTCCCTGCCCCCTCCTCCCCCTTCCCAGCCTCCAAGAGGTGAGTTTTTTTTTTCTTTGCGTGCCCCTTGCCCTGATCTTCAGCTCTGACACAGGCCCACAGGCGGTGGAGCTAAACAGAACTTGACAACTTAGGAGCTGTTTACCACAGCAGACTCTCACTCCTTTGAGCTGACTCCTGGATGTTTTCTCACAGAGATGCAGAGCTGATGCTCGTTCATTCAAACCTACAAATCCACCCATCCTAGTATGTGCTCTCTGTGCTCCAGCTGGGTCCTCCTCCTGAGTCCCTCGGAGCCGAGAGGTTTAAAGGATAAAGAGCAGAAGGGGAGGGGCAGCAAGGACCAGGAAGGCGGGGAAACGACGGGAGGGGAAGGATGAGGATGTTTTAAGTGGGAGCAATTTGTTGGGACAGTAACACGGGAAGTGTGTGTGAGGACCAAAACCTAATACGCTCACAGCCTTCACTTTTCCATCTTTGAAACAGTTTTTGGCAATGGCGTCACGCTACTCGTGGAACGCCCCTCCCACGAAGGACACCAAGACCTCGGCCACTCATAAAGCAAAGCATTTAATTGGGGGCGGGGGTCGCTTACAGTTCCAGAGTTTAGTCGGTTATCATCATGGCAGGGGACATGTGGCAGCTGCAGGCAAACGCTGGAGCCATGGCAGAGAGCTAACGTCCTGATCCGTAGGCAGAGCGAGGAAGCTGTTCGGCACCGTTTTTTTTAAACTCAAAGCCCACCCCCCACCTCCAGTGACACACTTCCTCCAGCAAGGCCACACCTCCTGGTTCTTCTAATCCTGTCAAAGATTTCTACCCCCTGATGACTAAGCGTTCCTTCAAATACGTTAGCCTACGAGGGCCACTCCTATTCAAACACCAGTGTTCTCGGTGCCTTATGTAAATCAAATTACATATTGCCCAAACAACCCTCCCCCCAAAACTTGAAGCCAGCCCCAGATAGCAGCATGCTCTTCAGACATGAGTCAGCAGGTTTGCCCGAGGTCTTGCAGCTGACAGTGTGGGACCCGGATTGTAGAGTCTTGAGGCAGCTGTCTCGTTTGCCCATACTTGATTCAGTGCTATTATTAGAAGGCAATTTCTTAGCTGGGTGTGGTGACACACACCTTCAATCCCAGCACTCGGGAAGCAGAGGCAGGAGGATCTCTGAGATCCAAGCCAGCCTGGTCTACTGAGTGAGTTTCGGGACAGCCAAGGCTACACAGAGAAACCCTGTCTCCAAAAGAAAGAAAAAAAGAAAGGAAAGGAGGGAGAAAACTGAACAAATTGACCAAGTTAACCAAATATCCAAGCAGGGGAAGAGGAATGTTAGACACAGCACACATTAATAAAAAAAAAAAAAAAGAGGATTACATGTTACTCTGTGCAAAGGGAACGCTGCAAGAAGCATCTCTAGCAGGAAACAATTGTTATCTATCTACACGATTCCCTTACCTAAAGAGACAGTCACTCTCCAGTACAGAAACTTCCAAGAGACTGCCTTAACCCAGCGAGGCCGTGAGAACAAAGGAGAAAAGGTCAAGTGACAATGCAGGTGACCGGTGACTACTACACAGGGTTGTGACAAGCAGTGGAGAGTATGTTAGAACACGAAAAAATAAAAACAGGCAGCTTTGGGACAGAGCTGTGATTTCTCAGTGCAGCGTTGGTTAATGTTGCGTAATCGATGGAACAGAGATAGAATAATAAAGGACCACCCCTGTGTAGGAGTTGGGATGGAGGCCCCGCAGGAGGTGAGGCTTTCCCTTTATGCAACAGGAAGTACTCTTGAGAGCCCTTCCTCTGCTCCACCCAGAAACCTGGTCTCTTCCCGGGGAGTCACATAATCCCCCCCCATGGCAGGCTGAACACTTCCCTGCCCCCTTTGCCTACGTGCAAAATGTCCCCCTGACTCCTTCGAAGGAGAGATTTCTGGAGACCAGCAAGAAGGCTCAGCAGGTACAGGCCCTTGCGGTCAAGACTGACCATGGAGTCAGATGCCCTGGCCCCACAAGGAGAAAACTGACTGATGCAAATGGTCCTCAGGCCTCCACACAAGCGCTGTGGCCCACAGTAAATAAAGAGATAAATGATAGGTAGCTAGATAGAGGATGATGATAGATAGATAGATAGACAGACAGACATATAGATAGAGGATGATGATAGGTAGATGATAGACAGACAGACGGATAGATAGATGATAGATCAATAGATGATAGATAAACAGACAGACAGACAGATGATAGACATTTAACTTTGGGGGGAGAGGGTTCAAGACAGCGTTCCCCTGTGTAAATCAGTCTGGCATCAAACTCAGAGATTATCCTGCTTCTGTTGGGATTAAAGGTGTGCACTACTATGTCCGGATAGCGTCATTTAAAATATTAATTTATTTGTTTGCTTGATTATTTTGTTTTGTTTTTTGAGACAGGGTTTCCCTGTGCAGTCCTTAACTGTTCTGGCGCTTCCTCTGTAGACCAGGTTGGCCTTGAACTCAGAGATCCACCTGCCTCTGCCTCCCGAGGGCTGCATTAAGTGTGCTACAACCTCCTGCCTCAAAATCTCCCATCTCACAGATAAAGTGAGATCCGGAGAGATCATAGCACTTTCCTGGGACCACAGGTTTTCATTGTTGTCGCTGTTGTTATTGTTAACCCTGAAATGGTTAGAGGGGAGACTGGGAAGTCACACACGCAGCCAGCTGACTGCTTCCCAAACACGACAGTACTCCATGAAAATAGAATGCAGATCACACACAACTTCATGACAAGTTTCCACCCTGAGTCCGACCACGCACTGAGGAAAGTTTATTGAACTTCTACAGAACTGGTCTGGGAGTGCCTCTATGTAAGACCCACCAGTCAGTTAGCAAAGACCAGAAGAATCTGGATTCCTCTTTCCGGACTTGGAGAAGAGTGGACAAAAAATTGGAGAATGAAGCCAGACATAGGTGGCGCACGCCTTTAATACCAGCACTCAGAAGCTCGGGAGGCAGAGGCAGGCGGATCTCTGTTGAGTTCGAGGCCAGCCTGGTCTACAGAGCGAGTTCCAGGACAGCCTCCAAAACAATAGAGAAATCCTGTCTCGAAAAACAAAAATAAACAAACAAACAAAAAAAACTTGGAGAATGATCTGTTACTGTCTCGGAGCGAATCACTCTGTATTAAGGGGGCGGGGACAAAGGATAACACAGCATTGTGAGAAGCAGGGAGAAACTAGTGGCCATGAGCGGGGTGGGGAACAGGAGCCAGTACTAGGCTGCAACCTCTAAACCCCACGCGTGAGAAGTGGTTCTGGTGATGTAGAGCCTACCAAGTGACTGTGAAACTGTGGGAGCCCCTTCTGGGGGCTCTGGCACAAGCGTCCCTTCCCTCATGGGTGATTGCACAGCGGAGAAGTCATATCTGGTGCAGCTCATGGTCACCAAGGACAGGGTGAACTTGCTGCGTGCGCCTCCATCATGGAGGAACGTCTACAGGAAGGTTCAGGGCCAAGTGCTGTGTCTGAACAAGCCGCGAGGTTGCAGGGGACGAGCCTGCACTATACAACGAAGAAGCTGGGCTTCAGAGCATCCAAGACCCTGCAGACACCAAAGCAGCTCTCGTTCCCAGGCTCTCAGGTTCAGGGACTGAATGGTTTCTGTTCCTGGCCCTCTAGACTGCAGATGAGCACATGGGACTGTAAGAACTCAGGCATTATACTGGCCTGCCCCTGTCACCAAGCAGAATGCACTCAGGCAGTGCCCTGGTCAGCCCAAGGTTCCATGATTGCGCAGTCTGCACGCAGGTGCAAAGGACCCCTTTAAAAGACAGACCCCCGCCAAATTACACTTCTTTTTCCTGCTTCCTGCTTCTCTCTCTCTCTCTCTCTCTCTCTCTCTCTCTCTCTCTCTCTCTCTCTCTCTCTCTCTCTCCTCCCTCCCTCCCTCCCTCCCTCCCTCCCTCCCTCCCTCCCTCCCTCCCTCCCTCCCTCTCTCTCTCTCTCTCTCTCTCTCTCTCTCTCTCTCTCTCTCTCTCTCCCTCTTTGCCTTCCTCCTCCCTCCCTTTCTAATGAAATTTCTCACTAAACTCTGTCTGCCTGGCCTGTTTGTCCCTCCATCTCGGTCACCCTCGCCTGCCATGGAATCCGACAAGGTCCCCCATGCGCTTTATCATAACAGGGACGATCCAGTTTTTATAAGTAAACAATCTGGTGACTTTGATTTGATGAATAAATTTTATGAGCTCTGATCCTTGGGGCTCCCTCACTGCTAAAGTAGATAATTGCAATTAAGACTCTTTGCAGGAAAATACACTAAATATCAAAAATAAAACAAAAAACCTTTTGGGGGAAGGGAAGAAGGGAGAAGGCGGGTGAAGGTTCTACTTGAAATTTCAGGTCATTTCCCCCACCGACTCTCCACTCAAGGCATTTTTCCCCCAAAGGGATCTTTTCTTCTTTTCCATCTATCACCAGGCGAAGGCAATGGGAGATGCGAACGATCCAAGAGATGGTCCCAAAGGAAACGGGGGAATCGGGACTCCATAGACAAGTAAGGACACAAAGACAGGCAGGTGCACACGCACGAGCTCGCTGTCCCGCAAGAGGTTGCTCTCCTGAGGACCAGGGGTGGACTCCATAGGGAACATTTTCCCAAGACCCACAACGCCAAGCTTCCCCGCGTTGCCACATCTTCACAAGTCCGGGGGTAAAGCTGGCTTTGAAAGGACTTGCAAGCTGGCCTCAGCTGGCAGAGTGACAGAAAACAATGTGCTCGTGCCAACAGGGCCGGGGAAACCTACAATCTTCAGCTTGGGAAATGACAACATGACTTCCCGAGGCGCGTGAGGGTGACCTGAGACCGGAAGAGGCCAAGGAGTGAAAATCGTGGCCACCTGTGCGAGCTCTGAGTGGCAGCAAACGATACAAAAGGGCGCTCTTCAGGCCCTTGGTGTCGTTTCACATGGTAAACTAAGTGCCTGCCTTTGATTAAGCATTAAATCAACAGAGGTCTGTGACAGGGCGACTCAGCAGGGAAGGACACTTGCTGCCAAGCCTGGCAACCTGATTTCAATGCTCACATCCGTATGGGAGGTCCTCCGACCTCCACACTTAAACCATGGCACCCACCCCCCCCACCCATGTATGTTCATGCATGTATGCACACACACACAATATATATATACACATATATGTCATACATGCTTTTTGGTTTTGGTGTTGTCTTCCCATGTAAGGTTTCTCTGTGTAGCCTGGCTGTCCCTGGAACTCACTCCGTAGACCAGGCTGGCCTCGAACTCACAGAGATCCCCCCTGCCTCTGCCTCCCAAGTGTTGGAATTAAAGGTGTGCACCACCACCACCTGACACATACAAACATTTTTAAAAATTAGTGTTAACTACTATTTAGGAAAATACTATGCCAACCAGGCAGTGGTGGCGCATACCTTTAATCCTAGCACTCGGGGCTGGAGAGGTGGCTCAGTGGTTAAGTGCACTAGCTCTACCAGAGGACCGGAGTCCAATTTCCAGTGCCCACCTGGTGACTCACAACCATTTATAGTGGGATATGATGCCCTCTTCTGGCGTAAGGTCATATATGCAAATAGAGCACTCATACATCAATAAATAAATGGGTTTGATTTTGAGGCTGGTTTTTGTTTGTTTGGTTGGTTGATTGGTTGGTTGGTTGGATTTTTTTCTGAGACAGGGATTCTTTGTGTCACAGCCCTGGGTATTCTGGAACTCATTC